ATTTAAGTCTTCTAATGTCAGTCCTCACCCTTATTTTTCCATTTCTTAAAATCTTTAACAACCTTCTTTCTCTTATTTCCTTACTACTCCCCCATCTATTTTACTGAGGATTCACATCAACAGAAAAGTTTATTTAGCCTTAAAAGCTGTATTTTGAATTGATCCACAGCAGCAAACATGGGGAAAAAATGTAATGTTGGCAATTTCTCACACAATCAGAGACTTCAGTTTTAGTTCCTAATTACAGGGATTATAAGAAGAAGGCCTGCAATTTCAAAACACAAGATTCCTGTCTTGGGGTGTATCAGTCTTTTTCTACACATGCAAGAACTGAGCCCACACAACAGGAAAATGCAGCCTTTTTGCAACTGCAAAATGAGGTTTCTCTTTGTCTTAGGAGTCCAAACCTGAGCTATAATTCTGTAGGGATCCCTACATTTGACACTTCAGGTACACTACATTACACCCAAACACAGAGCTGCCTGCAGCCAGCCATGAGAATTCACAAAAACACTTTTCTTATCTACTTCTGTTTTTCACAAACATTTTGTAAAAACAAGAATTAATAAGTAGATTGCTTCATTTCAATTCTGCTTTATTCTCTTTAGCTCTCTTTCCCTTCCTTTTTTTTTTTTTTTTTTTTTTTAATTGCTGAGGACTTGGGCAGCTCCACCAGAGAAGCTGTGGAGCCAGAACTGGCTGCAGGGCAGGTATGTGAAAAATGAAGCTTCTGACACTGGCAGGCTCCTCTCTGTGTAAACACCAGGAGTGACAGGTGAGGTGAAAGCATTGCAAAACCAGCATTCCTCCTCTGCTTCCACTTGTTACTGTGCCCAATAGACAACAACAGAATGTCAGCAGACATGCAGCTCAGAAATACTGATTTGTACAGCACTGCAGTTTGAGTAACACATCCCATAACTCTAAAGCCTCACACCTTCCTCTCTAAATCAACTGCAGAGAGCACCAGCCTGGCCCACGTGGCAGAGTGGGTGCCATGTGATAAGTATTTGCTCAAGATTGGCATTACCTTGTTCTTTAAAGCATTCACCCAGAACCACTCTTGCTCCACAGAGTTCAAAGATTCAATGCACGTGATGAATTTGCAATCTCACTGTGGAACAAAACACAGCTGTGTTTTGTTCAAGAGCAATTTAGTCAAAGCACAACTAAAAAATGCAATGATTATCTGGGCCTTTTTAAACTACAGACTAAGAAATTGTATTTCTTTGGTATGCATTTTTCATCTTCAGATTTAGGCATACCATTTAAGTGAGTGACATTATGTTCATAGTAACACCTCTGTAATATGCAGAAGTACTTGATTTTTAAGACAAATTTCCAGGGCATTTTAAATATCTAAAAATCATCTATACACTTTCAACAACAAAAATCTATTTGGTGTTCATAAACTCAGTGGATGATAGTTTAAAAGGCAATTAATTCAAACCTGTTTACTATCTATCAAATTCCTCTAGTAACTAGATAACATTCAGCACATACCAGACCACAACCAGCCTCCCCACAGCACTGATCACCACTCATGCTCTTTCAGACCATTCACGATCACTGCTCAGGTTAGCGAAGCAGATCGTGGTAGGAACTTTGTAACAGCCGAAGTGCATTAATAGAGGGGAATTGGTGGGAGATAACCCGTTCTTGATGAAGCACTAACTTGCCAAAAGTAAGTCATACCCAAATTCTTAGCAGCATTAAAGAGGAAGTCTAAACTGTTCAGGATGAGGGTTATTAGGATGCAGTCGGGGGATGATAGCAGCATCACTGATGAGCAGCTGTGTGTTCCAGCAGTGGGGTGGCTGAGCTCCTGAAGTTTTAAGGAAACATCAGCTTTTGAAACCCACACGAGCACGTCCCACTCGGGAGGGCTGGGGAGCTGAACACCCTGGAGCTGGCTCGCCCCTTATCCCTGGCAGCCCAGCGAGGCACCTCAGGGCCAGCGTCCCTCCCAGAGCTCCAGCTGACCCACACGGGTGCCCTGAGGGACCCAGCTCTCGCTGCTGCCACCCCAGCACGGCACCTCAGGGCCAGCGTCCCTCCCAGAGCTCCAGCTGACCCACACGGGTGCCCTGAGGGACCCAGCTCTCGCTGCTGCCACCCCAGCACCGGAACGGCCCCATCGCGGTAACTGACTCCGCACCGGGAGCGGGAGAGCAATAGCTTTGAAAAGAACACACAAACAATCCTATGAAGGCACAGGGCCGAAGGCCTATGGCCTCAATAGGAGCATGCTATTAACAGTCACCAAAAGTAATTCAGAAGGGGAAATAATAATAAATAAATAAATCTCCAAACCTAAAATTCCCTGGAGACGCTGAGGGCTCTCCCCCGCCCCCGGCGGGCCCCGCGTCAGGAGGAA